CTGGCCATACCCTAGTTACGCTGCTACTGATGAGCACAGTTGCTGCTATGAATCTCGCAAAAATCGGAGTTTTTGCCTCCCATATCCTTATTTTTGAAAGCAGGGCATCATTTTGGTTTCAAGTTAAGGTGATATTCGAAATCATATCAATGTGCTGTATCTATACTAATCGACATTCTGGGATCTATTCTGTCCAAATTCTTGTTTTTCTTGATCGGTCGGACAAGATTTTTTGAACAGAAAAAGAAAAAAGATTTTTACCTGAAGTTCACGACAAAAGAATCTTGACTGACTATCAAGAAAAAAAAAAGAATCTGGAAAGAATTACAAGATATGTCGAATATCTTGTATTTCAGACAAGATTCTGTTAACAGAGAAGAAAAAAACAATTCTTATTTGATCTTCAAGACAGATTAAGTAATGTCTTTGTGTACGTGTATCTATATATATATATAGAGAGAGAGATCAACATTCGTAGAATATATTTATTTTTAAATAACAACAAGTCATAACTGTTATGTTCACTTAAACAAACAACAGACATTCTTGTCAAATAATGTTTGATTTGCATGTCAACATCAGGTAAATGACACTATTTGATAGTAAACATAGATTCATTAACACATTAATCGTGTCATATTGTAGCTGATTTTAGAGTTTTTGGAAAATAACCTACTTAAAGCTACGGCCAGTGTTTTATCCAGAGGGGTGCCTGGGGGAGCCGCGCCCCCCCGAAACTTGCGATCATCGTACTATAAACACGTGGCTTGCCCCCCCGAAAATAATTTTTCGCCCCCCCGAAATTCCAAATCGCTCCTCCGGAGAAAAATCCTGGATAAAACACTGGCTACGGCTTAACGACGTGTCAATCATTATCGATTCCAAGTGAGACACATATGAATAAAACGAATTGTAATATTAAATAGGTATTTTTAGTGTAAATAAAATATTTTAATAATTGTTTTACTGTATTTTTATGTAAATTAGTTAGTAATATTATTTACTATTTTCTCTAATAAACATGTGAAATTCAAGAAAAAAGAATCAGATAAGAAATTCAAGAGAAAAGAATCAAGCAAGAAATCAAAGAAAAAAGAATCAAGGAAAAATATCAAGAAAGAAAAAGAATCAGGCTGATATTCAAGAATACGAGAATTTTCTCTCGTCAGCCAAGATTCTGTCTATATGGATTTTGCCAGAAAGTTAAGATCTGTTTTTTTTTTCAGAGAAGAATCTTATATAGAAGGAATAGCAAAAGAATCTTGCCTGATAACCAAAAACATCAAGAATCTGGAAAGAACGATGTCAAGATCGTCGACTAGTGTAATAATATATAATAAAAAACGTTTTTCTTTAAAATTGAGTTTCGCGATTTTATAAACATGATAATCAGTTAAAATTTAATTGAATTTCAACTTTCAACAAATGACCCTTCACATGAGATTTAGTATTGAATATGATCATTCAACATGAATTGAGTTATTAGTTCCAAAAAAGCCTTTTTTTTTAACACTTAAAAAAATAACATCTTAGCGCAAAACTAAAGCAATATTCGAAATCATCGCTTGAAAACTGCATCAGATAAAGTGCGACAGATTATATTTTCTAACAGAAAAAGTTTTTCAAAAAATTTTGGAAGGATCTTCCATAGGTGACTTTCGCGGAAATTTTTTTTTTCCTTCAAAAATAATCAAAATTTGTGGACTGTGGACCATAAACAACAATACTATTAAAAAAAAAAATGAAATATCTCTTTGGTTAGTAATAGAACTTTATTCAAGGTTTTCTTCATGTAGATAAGATAAGTAAATACCAGTTTTTACCTGTTATTGTTAGTATCATAAAAACGATTTTATCTGTTAACAAGAAAGATAAATATATATGTAGTGTTTTATAGATAATTTTCAGTTGTTATCTAAGAGAATAAGAGATCAAAACGAACTTTATAAATGATACTATATTGATATACATGAATCAAATTTTCAAACATGAAACATTAATTTAACTATTAGTTTTGAAAATTTGCTTTGTATGTATCAATATAGTTCGTTTTGACTTCTTCTTATTCTTTTTCGATGACAATTGAAAATTATCTATGAAATATTTCATATTTATTTTTCTTATTGAATGATAGTTATTATCCGTATGAAAGAAAACTTTAATTAAACTTCTATTAGAAACTAAAAAAACATCAGTCTATTCAAATAAATCGAAATGAAGATATGTCAATTTTGTTATCATAGTGCTATTTATGTTCTAACCTGGTAAATATACTTCTATTCTACTTACGTATTCATACTACAGTCTTTAAGACATTCAAGAATACATTCTTTATCATCAACTGTTCCCGAAATAATTTCTTGCTACAAAAAAAAAAAAAAAATAAATAAATCAATATGAATTATAATTAAAGAAAATTTTTTTGAATACAAACATCAATAAATTCGGGTTGAATTGTTGTTGAATGAATACCTTCTTTATGAAAAAAATCTTTAACTTGTTCAGCTACAGCCATATATTCACTTAAATTATGACAACGTATATGTGCCGATGCTATGATTTTTGAACCACTCAATTGCCAAACATGAAATTCATGTACGGCTAGAACACCAGGTACCTATAAATAAATAAATAAATTTTTCTTTCATTTAATATTAAATATGAAAAAATAAAAATACTTGTTCAACAAGACGTTTTTGTAAATCAGCAACTTCAATATGCATTGGAGCTGTTTGTAACAGAACTAATGCTGCTTCACGTACTAAATTGAGAGAAAAAAGAAATATATATATATATACATAAAATAATATTTGATTATCTATAAATATGGTTTACATAATGGAATCGTAAATACAACAATCATTGAAAGCATAAGTAAACTAGCTATTGGATCAATATAATTAATCCATGCTTTATCAGGCCATTGTCGAATAGCTAAACCAGCTAAAACAACAATTACTGAACCAAGTGCATCATTAAGTACGTGAAGAAAAGCACCACGAATATTCATTTGACCACCATCCACTATTGATGAAAAAGATTTTTATTGATTGTTTATTTGTTTTTTTTTGAGAAGTTTTTCTTACGTCCTTTCCGCTTTTTCTTTTCCGATTTCTTATCAACATTTTTTGTCTTACCATTATCTAATGTTGATGGTTTCGAATCATGTGAATGGCCATGATTAACTACAGTATCTGCCGGTTCATCATCACATAAATGCTCACCTTCACCTATTTCAACACTATCTTCATCTTTTTTATTGTCATGTTTATCTTTTGATTTATTTTTATTACTTCCATGCGAATGTCCGTGAGCCATATCACCTATAAATATAATCTTTCTATCATTTCTAATTGAAAATAAAAATAACAAACCTCGAAGGATTATTAATGCCATTAGATTAATAGCTAATCCAATAATACCAACAACAATATATAAGGTTAATTTATCTCGTTCAACAGGTTCTATTGATATTAAACGTTTGACAGCTTGTACAAGAATAGTAAAACAAAGTGACATAAGTAATATGCAATTAACCATAGCACCTAATTCTTGTGCTCGTACCCATCTATATATAGAAAATGAAAACATCGAGTTTTTTTTTTCTAACAGAAAAGAATTCAAAATGTATTATACCCGAATGTATTTTTAGCTGATTTTCGTTTTGAAATCTAAATACAAAAAACAAACAAACAAACAAACAAACAAAATTTGATTCAATTAAATAAATTTCAAAAACATACTCGTACGGAGACCATTGCAATAATAAGTGCTCCACTATCACTAAGCATATGTATAGCATCAGCAAAAATAGCCACCGAATGAACAATATAACCACAAATAAGTTCAACAAAGAAAAATCCTATTGTAAGAACTAATACCGTTCCTAAACGGCATGTTTTTGAAGCATGTAAAAAAGATTTTCCTTCTTGATGAGAATGTTTATGATGTGCCATCTAAAAATATATGTTTGTATTCAATTTTGATTTCTCATTTTCGAATTCTTACTAATGAACTGTATTAAAATAATGGTAGTTCAATTAATACAATTATCGATGAAGAAATTAAAATTTAGATTCTTGAATTTATGAATAAGTTTGATGGAAAATTATTCATAAATGTTTGAATTCAAACTTAATTTCTTTATTGATAATTGTAATACCTGAAATTCTATTGTTTCAACATAGTTCATCAATAAGAATTTCGAATCGAACATGTATCTAGACATTAATAGAGGTTTTAACAAAAACGTCTTCCTCAACCGAACATTGGACACATTCATTCTCGAACCTGTAATTGCGCGAAGATATTTCTACACGATACACATCTCACCTTCACTCTGTGTTGTGTGTGTCTCGTGTAGAAGAACCTGAATGTAATCTAGGGTTGGACTTTAACATTATTTAACATAAATCACTTAAATCATATTTATTATAGCGCCCTCATTCTTTCGTAAGTTTTGTGTACCTGTAAATTACTCCAATGAATTGCAGGCGCGTAATTAAAATAAAAGTATTTCCTACCTTCAGTTAGTTAATTATATAGATATAATTTAATGATTTGATCTTATCTATTAAAAAACAGTAATAAAAGGAAAATTACATACACTAATAGTCCATTTTTTTATTGGTTATGTTAAGTGAACCATATAAAAAAGTTTCGATTTTTTATATATGAAATAAACTATATTTTAATACAATTAATGAAAAGAATTTAAAGAATAAATGAAAAATTTATTAAAAATTTTCAATATAAAAAAATTTTTTTTTTTTTGTTGATTATGGATGAAGGTTTGTTGCCATGGATATCGATTAGGTCGTATGATGGCGTTCACATCAGAGTAGGGAGTTGTAGGTTGTCTTGTCAAGTGGTCAATAAAGAAAAAGAAAAAGAATAACGATTTATATATTGTAATCTTAAAATCAGTATTTCAAAAATAAAATAAAATCAACTTTTTCTTTTTTGGTTTTTAGAAATCAAACAATTGTTTTTTTTTCCAAATGGCAACATTTGATCGAATGATTATTGATGATCGTGATTTAGCAAATCGATATTTTGGTGAGAATAATTTAGATGATTTTGATAATGATCAATATCTTTTTTCAAAATCATCTACAAATAATCGTCAACCATTTCATTTAAATCCATTAACTGAACAAGATTCATTGAATAAAACTAATGATAATATTGGTTTATTTGGAAGACGAGTTTATTTAGAATCACCTGCACTTGACAACAAAGATGAAGATGATTTATATAGGTAAAATTTATTATTAAAACTTTACTACCAAAAAAAAATCTTTTTTTCTAGATATGTACCAAGTCGTTTAAGTGAACATCCATCATCTATTGTTGGTACAACGGTTCCAGCATCTACGGGTGAAACACTTATAGATTCACTTGATTTTGAATTAGATCTTTTTGGGGCAACAAATACACGACATACAATACCATATCAAACAAGTACACAATTATTACAAGGATCAAAACCACCAGCACTATTAACACAATTACCTAATCCAGTAATACAATCTCCAATGACAAATATGCGAAGGTAAGTTCAATAGTATATAAAACTTTTGAAGTTCAACGATTATGTATAAATTATACGAAATGTTTTTATTGATTGTTCTCTCACATTCTACGCCTAAAGATGAAGAATTTCAAATTCTAGAAAAAAAAAATGTTTGCTTTGTTTTTTTTTCTGTTTTTGTTGTCAAATGTAAATCTTAACATCTACTGAATTTCGAATAAACATGTCATTGAAATTTTGTTTATGCTACGAAATTCTTCATCACTCAATACACAATACTTAAAAATTTTAGATGAAGTATTTGAGTAAAACAGTTGTCAAATAAAAAAAAAACATGGCAACAGAAAGACGTTTTTCTGATAGATTAATATTATTCATATATGCTAAATAACGATATTAATAGTTTTACTATTGTTCACAATTAAATATCATAATAATAAATTATTCATAGAATTAAAAAATACGATTTTTTTCAAAGTATAATAAAAATTAACGATAATTGCCAATGTCAAATATATATTTCTTGTGCAATAATCTTCTCCCAAAATTAGAAGCATAGAATATAAAATTCTCTATTTATTATTAATATTAAATAATGTACTTTTAATATTTGTTTCGAAGTATAAAAACTTACAGTAATCATAGAGTCGGAATATTAAATAGGAAATTGCACTGGAATGACTGAGTAGACATAAATATTTTAATATTTGCCGACTACAAGAAAAATTTATTTGAAAAAACAAAATCAATAATTTCTTAGAACTTGAAATTTTCTATCTTTTTTGTATATAAAGGAAGTTTGTTTATTTTTTTTTCATATTGTAGAAATGAACATAACAACAAGATTTAGTATTGCTTATTCTAGAATATGTGTTATTTTACGAGAAAAAAAAACGATTTCAAATTTGACGATTTAGAACTATTAAAGCAAATTCTTTATGTGTGTGTGTGTTTTTTTCCTAATTAAAATCGTATTAGTTTCATTTATGTATGAAGTGTAAATGTAAGAAAAAGAAAATGATCATTGGTTATTTTCAAGTTATAATTAATTTTGACATAAGAATTTAATTTTTCATTAAGAAAATTTTTTTTTTGCTGTCAAAGGATTGAAACAAAACACTTATGTGTGATTTTTCTTTTTTCTTTTGTATATAACAAAAATAACCTTGAATTCATTGACTATAAAGTTTGAATAATCTTGAATTCTAAAATGTAAAAATGATATTTATCATTATTCTCATATAACTCGATGGGTTTTATTCCTTTGAACTATATTTGATGAATAAGAATTATGTTTTATGAAAAAAAAAAAAACATGATAAATACGAATTGATCCTTTTTCTTTTGTTTTCAAAAGATATAATAATATCTAATAATTTGAATTATGTAATAGTTCAAATAAAATAGCATTATCTATCATATTCAACTAAACTTTAATTATGTTTTATCACGTAATAGACTTCTTTCAATATGAATATGTTTTTTTCGTTAACTTTAAAGTATCTTGATATGATGAAAAAGAAAAAAAAAATCAATTTTACGTATTTTAAAAGACTTCTTAAGTGATTACTGAGATTTTATTCTTATCAAGTTCTATCGTGTTGCATAGTTAATCTATATGAGTATTATGAAGATAACTTTAATTATAGAGCTGATCCTCGACAAGATCCACTTCTTGGTCCATTACTTGCTGAACTTGATGCAATGTCTACACAACAACGTTTACCACAAACACAACCACCATCGGTTCCTTTGTATCGACGAAATTCAATGCCTTATGAACCTAATATGAGTCGATTACCTGGTCTATCCCAAACCAATCAAGGTAGAATTCTTCGTTCGATTGTTATTTACAAAAAAAAAATCTTTCTTCATAGGTTGAGTTCTTTTTTTTTTTTATTTTTTTGTTTGTTTGATAAGAAAACTATTTTTATGCATAAATGAGAGTCACTTAGCACGCCTGTGTAGCCAGCGGCAAGGATATCACTTCATTGTTTATAACAAAGTATAAATTGTTTTCAATCTTAAACAATTTTCATTCACAATTCACCGTACATATTGTTTCTGTTTGTAAATTATTGAAGCAAAAAACAAAAAAAAAAAAAAACGAAGAAAGACTGAAGGTGAACAAGAAAACGAGAAAGAAGACGTCAAATAGTTTGATTGATTTTCTTTTCCTTCTCCCTTGTTTGTAAGTTTTCTTCTATTTGAAAGAAAAACAAATCGGAATGAGAAGAGAGCAGTAAAATGGTATTAACGATAATTGTTCTTGTGTCATCGGTTGCTTATGATCGTCGTCATAAGAACAAAAAACAAGAAAAAAAAAAACCTAACAAACATAAGCATTATTTGATGTAGAAGGCAACGAAGTGAACAGAATTTTTTCTTGTTAGGTAAAATTTTGCCTGACATTCTTTTTTTTTTGCTGATATAAACGTTTGTCTGCATATATTTTTATTTTACAAAAACAAAGGACATTTTTATTAAATAAGCTTCATTTTTAGCTTCAACAACTACAGCTAACCGTACTGTTAATGATGCATTACTTGAAGCTGAACTCTACGATTCACTCGATCCTCGAGATCAACAAAATCTTTCTATTCATCAACATCAACCGATACCATTTTCTGCTCCAAATATAAACTCATCCAATCAAACTCAACCTCAACAACAACAACAACAGCAACAAAAGCAATTGCCATCTCGTTCATCAAATATGAATAGTACAGATATATTTATGCCCTCATCCTATGGTAATGGACCGGAAACATTTTTAAGTCATTTTGGTCCAGATGAACAATTATTTCAACAACCATTATTCAATGCTATTGGACAAAACTATGTACAAAATCCAAGGGCACCACCTCCACCTCAACCACAACAACAACAACAGCAGCCATACGAACAACGCGATCCGACTTTTGATAATTCATATGCACGATTATCTCCACCACATCGTAAAGCACATGTTCCATCTCAACAACTTCCAAATACTAATCAATATCAACAGCAACAACCACCATTACCTTCAAATCGACAAACAGCCTATACGAATAATAATAATAACAATAATGATCCATTTAGTGAATATCAAGAAATGTATGCTCCATCTCAATATCAACGTCCACCACCACCACCAACTCAAAAACAACAATATCAAAGACCTCCACAACAACAACAACAACAACAAAATTATGATGAACAAATTCCACGTTCAACTTATCCTTCAAATAATCAAGAAATGTTTTTTACTGATCATAATGATGATCAACTTGATCAACTTTCTTATCGACAACAACAGGGACCATCAATGACAAATCAACATAATATTGATCAACAACAAGAACAAGATTCAAAACGACAAGGTAATTGAAATTTTCTTTTTTTAAATAAAATCAATTCTTTTTTTTTTTTATAATAGCTATTTGGAATGAATTACAACGTACAAATGCTAAAGTTCAAGAAAAAAATGCAAAAAAACGTGAATCAGCTAATCGACGTGAACAATTATTAAAAGGTACATTTAGTTCCAATAATCTATGGAATGGACATGGTGGTAGTCAACAATCTTCTGCTCAATCAAAACAAGGTGTAAATTCACCACCACAACGTCGTCCACCACCTATACCTGTTTCAAAAATAAATTATATCGACGAAAATATTGATATGATTAAAAATAAAGAAAATTTTTATCATCGTTATCCAGCTAAAAAATATGAAAATTTATATTCAAAACGAAAAGATCTTGCTGGTGGTGGAAAAAATGAACAAAATCAAGAGTAAGTTTATGAGAACACTAAAAAGAAGAACGGATTTATAAGAAGTCAACTCTGTTGAATCATATATCATCAATGGGAAGAATATGTTGAAAATAACATTTTGATATTAATATCAGGAAGTTTTAATAATTTATTCTATCATGATGGATTTAATTTGAGAATAAGTAGACAAGACAAAATACTACTGAAATTATGAATTTGATAATTCTTTAATGCAGCAACAATTCTACATAAAAATCACTAATCGATTGTTTTATTTTATCATTGACTGTTATCTTTGAAGACATATTTTAATTAAAAAAATTCCAGTAACCAAAATTCTCGTATTTTCTCATTTGATAGTGCTTTTGAAAAGCTACAAAATCATATAGTTTTCAAAGTTCAAAAAAAATTTAGCCATTTGAAAAATTCCTTAACACTATTTTTCAGGCTCAATTTTGCGTCTTTCTAGAAGATTTCGCTGAGAAAACTAATATGATATTCAGAATCAGGATAAAAAACTGAGTGTGATCTATGTGTGACTTAAAACAATTTCTGGAACTTTTTTTTTCATCGAAAAATTTATTCTTGATTCCCTTCTAAGAACCAAACAAAAAGATGAATAGTATCAAACGATCATTTGAACATTATAATGAAACCTAGAAATTTATTTTAAGTTATAAGAAGGCAAAATGGTAAATATCTAGAAAATAAAAGCAGAATTTTCAAATATCGTATTAGCTTTAATTCAAGTAAAACTTTTCTAATTGAAATCTTCTAAATATTAATCTAACAATGTCAACCAGTACATCTCATCAAAATTAAACAACCAATTAGTGATTTATACATGGGATTGAAGTTCTATGAGAGACCTATCAGATTCATAATTTCAGTAGTATTTTGTCTTGTCTATTTATTCTCAAAATGAATCCATTGTGATAGAACAGATTATCAATATCTCATGAAACTAGTACCAAAATGTTAGTTTCAACATGCTCTTTTCATTGATATATAATTCAATGAAGTATTGACCAAGAAAAGTACTAGTAAGCCGATTTGATCATTTATATTTCTCTTACCTTTTTCAAAACAAAAATTTTCTCCTTCTTAGATCACAAAATGATTTTGATCAAACAACATCATCAACATTAATTAATAATTCTACAGAAACATATTCGAATACACAACAGCATTCTAGTTTACCAGTAACAATTAATTTAAATCCAGGTGATAAATCACAAACTGGAAATCTTCCAGCATCAGTTACAATACCACTCGGTTAATAATAAACTATTATCTAAAATCTTTTGTTATGTTTTTTTTGTTCTTAATAGATAGTCATGTTAGTCGTGTAGGTGATAAAATATCCGTAAATATTGATTTACGTCTTGTTGATTTACAAAATATAAAGCAACAACAAAATAATCATCCAGATTGGTCAGGTTTAGATCCATTAGATCGACATATACGAAAATTAGAACATAGTATTGATCAAGTAAGATGATTTTTACTTTTAATTATTTCATTTTAGTCCAGATTATTTAAAAGAATTCAATTCAGAAATCAAAAAAGTCTTTAGAAAATCAGAAATTTATTGAATGTCGTTGGATTAATTGTTCTTGTCAGCGACGTCGGCAGCAGGTAGCTGCTTCAATGCTTACTTGGCTTATTTTTAATTTATTTTGATTTCTTCTTTTTTTTTTTCATAATTATGTAATATTCAATATCTTTTATTTTAGTCTTTACCACCAACTAATTCACCAACTAATCGAAGTTCAACATTAACAAATCCACCTATTAATCAATCAATAGGTCGTTATGGTAAACACACAACAGGTATTGGTCAAGCTGGATATAGTCCACCTAGTTATAGTAGTGACCATTATAGTTATAGTGATAAAGGACGAGAAGAAGGTAATTTGAAAAAAAAAAATATTGATTATTGTAAATCAAAAACAAAATGATTATACTTTGTTTTTTTATTTCGATAAAGATTCTTATTTGGCTAAAATGAATTTTACAAAACAAGGACCACATTTTAAACCATATACTGGTCGTGATTATGAACAATTTAAAAAGAATAATGGATTTGGTGCTGGTTCTCTTGGTTTTGATTTTGATAATCCTAATTATAAAGAAAAAGTGGATAAATTATTGTCTTAAAATTAAATATAATATAACGAGTTTGTTTTTTTCTTTTTAATTTAGAGTGATAAATTAATGAAAACAAAAGAATATGCACAACAAGTTGAAACTCGTAATAAGAAAAAATTAGCTGAAGCTCCTCGACGTACATTATCAGATACACGAATACCAAATGAAGCATCAAAAACACAACGAGTAATTCATTAATAATTATCATTATTATTTCATAATTTAAAAAGAAAAATGTCTTATTTATTTTCGTTATATAGGCACTTGAATATGCTCGTGTATCAACACGTCATAAACCACCATCAGGTACATCAACTCGTTCGACTCCACCTGATATGAATGGAGCTGCTCCTGGTCATCGTCGACCAACTGATGTACCTCATCGTCAACCACCAACACAAAAACAATCAATAAAATTTGCACAAAATGATGATAATGAACTTGTTGAACGTTTAGCTATGCGTCATGAACGTGATAAAGCTCAAGTACAAGGTATTTTAAATCCATCACAAAAACGACGTGAACAATTTTATGATGATGATGATCGTCGTGTTACTGATATTGAAAGATTAGCACAAGATCGAACTAATCAAAGACGTTTATCACCACCTAAACAATTACCTCCAACAGGATTAACAACAAATGGTAATGCACGACGACCATTAAGATTTGATAAACCATTTATACCTGATGAATCAACATATCCTCCTTCTCTACAACAGCAACAACCACAATATCGTCCTGTTCAACAACAACCGCAACAAAGCCATGCTGTTCAACAACAATCGCAACAACATCAACCAACACATGTTGATGAACTAGCTAATCGACATACTGACGAAAAAATGCTTATGGAAGCAATTCGTCAAGAATTAAGTGAACGTCCATTACGTGACGATGAAGAATTAATTGTTGTTGAACAATAATATCTTATAATGGATTTGTATAATAAAAACCCTGTGATAATTTCATTTTATGCTCTTATGTTCCTTCACAGTATCTTACAAAATACTATTAATTACATAGAAATGTATTTCACTTTTTCACGTTTGCTTCCAAGAATTGTCTCAATTTTTTTTTTAATGTATATATGTGGTCTTTCAAACGTTGATATTTGTAAAGACCTCTATTTCGTTATTATTCTAATAACTCTTTAATATAGCTTCTTGAAATCAAATCAAACATGGCTTTTTCTTCTTCTTCTTCTTCTTTTTGCGTGCCTATTTGTTGTTCTTTTGTTTTTCTTTCTTGTATTTCACACGATTGTTGACTTGAGATGCAGCGCAGTATAATTGGGAATGTGCTTTGGATGTTATGAGAATGAATAATATGACTTCAATTGCGAACTAAAATTTGTTTTAGAATTCTTCGTCTTTTTTTTTCTTACATTAAAGTAGAAATTAAGAAGAAGTATACATTATATTAGCTGGCAATGAATGAAACAAAATGTAAAAAGAAAATGAAAACAAGAACACATAATTCTATTTATTCTCAAGTAGATAAAAAAATCAGAATTCTGTATATTACGAAAAAAATCAAAATGTCTTCGGCAAGTTAGTCACATATTCTGAAACAGAGTTGTGAGGTTGGTCTGGTGGTCTGTAGGCATCTGCCAGGTTGATCTTTGTGGCCTGGATGACACATATCTAAATTCTTGGTGTATTGATGGATTTTGATTAGAAGTAGTATTGTAGGTTAAAAATATTTTGATAAATTTATTGAAGTTAAAGTTTTTACGTTAAACTCTGATTATCAAAGTTAAAATGGTAAGCTCTAATGCTAAGATAACTATTGGTTGCATGCTCTAATTTCCACTATTTCATGCGAATCTTGTCATATACGGAATTGTAAATGTATTAAGGCTCCTCCCTGTTAAAAATATCAATTTTTTGAGCTTTCTACATGATCGAATAGCCCACATTTTCTACTGTCGAAATCACTATTATTCTTATTTTTTTACAATGGTTCCAAGAAGTTTTCTGATAGTTTTTTCACGACTTTCATGAGATTTTGTAAAAAACTTATAAGCAGAAAACGTTTGTTAAATTTTAGTTTTTGAAGCCCTGTGACTTTACCTATAGGCTTTTTGACTTGGAGAACACATCCCGCATGCTCTAGCAAATGTGCTTCATGAATTTCTTCAATGAAATCTCTCGTGAATCGCTCTACAAAGGAAAAACAGCTGGATTTTCAAAGTTCAACTTTATTTGCCGTTTTTCTCAAAACGACTTTTTTTGTTCGTACGTCCCAGATTTCTCAGTCATTTTACATATCAGAAAGGTTGGGAAGATTTTAAATTGAAGCGAAAATTATGTTCAACAACTTAATAGAACCGAATTTTTTATTTTCGACTTAGTTTTTAAGAAAAATGAATCTTTTTTCATAGGAGTACCTCCATTTTGTCGAATTTTTTGAGAAAAACTGACACAGGAAATTAACAAAGAAGAATTTAAAAAATCGGACTCTATTAAGTTGTAGCGGTAAGTATTGGCTACATCTTGGTGCCAACGTGAAATCTGTATCATTAGATTTGGAGGAGAAATCTGAGATGTACGGACACCTATTTTTAGACCCTTGATATAGGGATAACTCTTGAAGAATTGAATATTTCAGGCTGAAATTGTTACTGTGTGCTCCGTAGGTCTGCACCCTTCTTTTCTAAAATTTTCAACTAGATCGGTTATTTTAGGACGAGTTTTTGATAGGAGGGCCTTACTTCATTCTATATTATGACGAATAACAGTAATATATATTAATGATATTAACTTTTCTCATCCATTCTAGTTCACCTTTAACTACAAAGGTTCAAAAATGGCTTCTAGCTCTGAATGTGTAAGTCAACTCAAACGACAACATACATTCTTGATAATAGATAATTTTTTTTTAACTAATTGACTTTTGTTTACAATTTTAAATGGACTCATGATTGAGCTGGTGTGTCTCACTAGACAAAGACAATGAATAATCAACAGAAATGGAACTGACTAATAGTGCAATTCAACTCGACATCATCAATCAGTAGACGAAGATAAGCAGCAAATGTTTTTGACGACACATATTTTAATGTCATGAAACAGTATTAATGAAATTAGAACTGATTCAAAAAACATAATTCCTTGTATTGATATGAATGCATTTTTTTATGTAGTTTTGTATGTTTTGATTTTTTTATGTAATGAAAGAGTTTGCAGTTTTATCATTTTAATTGAGAACAACTAAATATATGATCGAAACTAGTGTGAAGGAATAAGAAAAATATCTGATGCATATTATGCAATTGTTTCCATAAATCTATTTAAAACATTCAATAAGTCTATACTGTCGTTTCAAAAGTTTGCAGGCCAGGCTAGGAAAGGTTGAAAAAAAATGACTTGTTGGCAGCTGTGTTCTGAAAGTCCATTTAGTTCTTTACAAGTAATTGTTTCCATGATTTGAAGACCAAAAAAAAATGGATGATCCTTCGACAAGGTTAAATCTATACTATTCAAAATGATGAATTAATTCTAGTTTTTAATAAACTATAAGATGATTTACGTAGTTGTCATATTCAGTTCCCTTCAAAATTCTTATTCACAAAAGAAAAAGTAATTTATATCACAAGAGCATTTCACTTTTGATTCTTCATTAGCTACAAGTCTGTAATTCATCGAGAATGCATAAAAGAAATGTTAAAACTTTTTCTCTGCTCCATCGTTTAAGAGAATATGAGTTACGATCAGCAAATTACTTAAACAGTCAGCTATTAATTAATTAGGTTTGTTAGTAAATTTTAAAAAATCAGTAAATACAATTTATTAACAATGAATTATATGGAAGAGTCAGTATAAAAAAATTGAAATGATTATAGAATGCATCACCTTTGTTCTTCTTTTCCTTTCGCTTCAACTGTTCTACATATGTTCTCATTCTTCTGACCTACTTTGTTTTTTAACCTACATATTATGCGAATAATAAGAATTATTGTTTGAATTCTTCTTATTATTTATTATCTAAAACAAAGGGAAAGAAGCTTCTTGACTTTGTCCTTGGTAGTTGTTTTTATCTATCTTCATGTATAAATATTTGGTGTTTTTCAAATAAAAGTAACATATTTTATGTTTACAAATTTTGATGCATTTGTAACTATGAAAGTGGTGCAAGTTTCTCAATATAAAACCGATATATCAGATGAAGAGGTGATGAAAGAAGATCATGAAATAAATGGAAATAAAAGAATCCTTAAGAAAAAAGAAATCAAAATGTTGGATTAAAAAAGATGCATTTGATAATTCTGGCGAAGAATGACCATCAATTGCAAATCAATGATCAAAAATCTTACACTAACTGTACAGAAGATAGGAGAAAAGTTTCTTACAGACACAAGAAAGACAAACGTCGTGCAAGTACGTATTTATCAGCTATATCATGCAAATAGTGATAAAATAACTGATTATGAAACTGAAGTTGAACACGAACATCATAATAGCGAAATTCGTCGTATTCATTAAAATGTTAAAAAATAGATAGAAGATTTATTTAATGATAGTATAAAGAAATCAAAACTAATTCTTCAAGTACTTCAATCAAGAAAAATAAATGTGCCAACGTTAGCACAGCTAAAAGATTATCTTGTCTATTATAGAAAAAAGAAGTTTATATGAATTAGAACAATGGTGTGAAAATAATCAAAATATTCCAATGGATGAAAACGAATCTATTGGATGTGGATGTAGAGAAGAACCACAGTAAACACTACACCCAGACTCTCTTTGATTTATTTAAATTTATTTTCTACTGATAAGTTTTGTATTATTTACTGATATAAGTTGAAATGTTTTTGCTGTTACCTATATTTAATAAACTGATCATTTTACAATTAAGTGCTGATAATTTTAACATAGACTATTTCATCTATTTTATTAACCACCTAAATGATAGTCATTCTTTAATTACTAATAGATTCACTATTGATACTATGCATATATTACAGGTAAGGTTGACAATTATGTATGTCAAATAGATGCTAGATATATGGCAAAAGAAATAATAGAAAACTTTGATTATTCAATTCTACAACTGTATTCATATTAGTATCAACATTATTTATAAAAAAATGGAACATGAATAACAAGCAAAAAAAGCAGTATTCAAAATTAGATTTTTTTGAATTATTTTGATAATGAATGTCTCAAATCAAATGATGCTTGGTATGAAGATATACAACTGTATGGACCAGGTCCAAACAACGCCTTATAGTCAATCAATAAAACAGTCAAAGATGATGAAACGTTTGAAGAACGCCATGTCTGATCAAGATTTTTGACAATAGCTTCAAATATGATTAATAATTGGTCAACTGAATGAGATTCTTCTTTAATTAATGCAAAAATATTTCCTACAGAACCAATAATGCCTTGAGAATTATAGACTTTATCATATCAATGAACTAAATCAACAAAAGATGTACTTTTACTTTGAATAAGTCTTCCAAAACATATTATATACCAACTTGTGATTTACAATCGATGACATAAACCAATTCAAATAAATATAAAAATAAGATATGAACAACTTTTAATCAATTCAAAAACTTAATTTGATATTTGCTGTACAGAAATGAAGAATGATTCAGATTGAAAAAAGTCAAAATGCAATTGTCCAGCGTTCTTTTAAGAATTATATATCTAAACATGTTGTTAGTATAGCTATTCGTTTGAAATATTCCAAAACTACTATCAACACATCGATGAAAAAAAAGAAAACGAAGTAGATCAGCAAAGGCTCAACCTACTTTGCTAGTACAATAATTCAATTTTCTTTTTCTTTTTTTCTATTCATTCTTTAAATCTCTATTTAATATTCTTTTGGATATCTTCTTATTTATTCTGAGGTATTTTTATTCAAATTTATTTTTCTTATACTAAATTAATATCTATATGAACAAAAC